TCCCTTGCTTAGCATCTGTTTGCTATTTCCTAACACTAATAATATGCAAATGATGCACAAAACCCATTCCCTTTTACAGTATTTTTAATTAAAAGCTAGATAGTTGCCTTTTGTAATATTTAAATGTTCCCTCTGTATAAAGATTACTGTACTCATGGAAACATGAACTATTATATTGGGTATCTGTTTGTAACAATATCCAGAATTTTAGAAGGTAATTCTTACTTAGGAGCACACTAGCTTTGATTTCTCGATAAGTAAACCCCCTGGAGAATTAAAATAGGAAGAACTTCATATGAGTGACTTAGTTCATATAGAAGTGATGCAAAACTTTTGAGCATTTGGAAATACTCTGATAAGTGTTATATGGAAATTTCACAGTTGTTCTGTGATCTCTTTCTACAGGTTAATTATTGACTTCCAAAATAAAGTACTAAAACCTTTCCAGGAAAAAATAATATTTTCATTACTGAATTGCTTAATCATGGCTTTAAAACTGTAAATGCAGAGCATTGAACTTATGGGAGAAAACTCTCCGGTCTGTATGTCTGAAGATTTAGGAAAATTCTAGCTGAACAAATTGGCTGGAGGTGTCCAATAGCTTTGTGTTTGCCTGCAGCATCACCTTCTGCATAGGAGTGGAGTTTATCTTTTCTAAGAGTAGCATTTGGTTGATTCCTTAAGCTTCCCTACTTAACTCACATCATGGCTTCATGTATAAGTAACAGGGACATAATCCTTCACTGATGTCATAAGATTGCTATGTTGGTATTTCATTTTGCTCTATCATCGTCTTATACTCTATGCTTGATGGTAGGGAGGGTCTTGCATTTAATCTCTTTTAATTGCCACAAGTTCATCCAGCTTTGATAATGCTGGGAGTTCTCTTCTGAAAATTCCTTCGTTTACAGTGTTGTTAAGTGTTTATATTATTAATGGATCTGTGGGAGTTTACTACATTTAGGTAATATATGTGCTAATAATGTTAATGCAAATCATACTAGATTCCTGCAAGGGAAAAAAAAAAAAAAGAGGACCTTGATAAAATCTCCACAGGAATGTGTTGTGTTTCAGGAATGCTTTTCTCTCTAGTCTCAGTGCTTTAGACTTAATTTTGTTTTGATCCTCAAAATAAATATCCCTCTCCTCAATACACCCCCGCCCCAACCTTCCCATTCACTGGTACTGAATCTTTTTTTCCAGTATGCCTGTTCTTATTTTCATAGCCGTTATGCCTTGTGCCTGAAGAACTCTTTTGATCCTATCATCAAAACAGCTTTTCTGAGGCTAACCATTCCCTTCCATCTTTATCATAGAATGGTTTTGGTGGAAAGGACCTTAAAGGTCACCAAGTTCCAACCACTCTGCCATGGGCAGGAAAAGGGTAACCCGTCCCTGGGTAGGCTCAAACCACCAACCCTTCAGTTAGTAGCCCAGCACACTAGCTGATTGTAGCACAGAGACTGTAAAATTGTGCAAGTGGCAGATACTCAGTGCCAATTTCTTGGTACCTCTGCATGCCACTGTGCTATTTGATGTTGCAGTGGGTCGCTGCAGGCTACTGTGTGAAATAAGAAGGCAACATATAAAGTTGTCTTCTCTCTGGGAAGGTTTCCTTGCAGTAACTTCTGCTGCATCTGTTTTCCTTAGTCGAGTTAGTTATAGAGGGAGGAGCTCAGAAGCAACATAGTGCCTTACTGATCAGCAGTCTGAACAGCTTAATTTAATAGAAATTATTTCAAGAGGGACCACTGCCACTATCAACCGACTTATCAGAGTCTGGCCTGCTAAACTTTTTCAAACCTAATGCTCAGTACCAAGGCTAAGAAACACACACTCTGCAGGAAAATAGCTGCCTGTGAGAGAGCAGAGAGCAGGACTACAACTTCTCTTCTGCCAGTCCCTAAGCTCCAAAAGGCACCACAGAAAAATCTAGTACTATAAAGTTCATTTTGCTCTCTGAGAACAGCATAACTTATTCTGAATTTCCAGATGTTGTTATTTTGGCAGTATGACAGCCACGCTTTGCTTCCAGAATTCCTTGGGTTTATTCCTGAAAGATTTCTGTCTCCAGAACAATGTTTTCCATACTAATAGCCTGGACAGTGGTCAAAGGTTTTCCTAGCGGAGCTGGCTGAAAAGAATGCAGACTATTTAAAAGTCCATCTGATGAGACTGTTTGCTATTTTGACATTCTCCTATGCATGGATTATTTTGTAACCAAATGGGAAGTCAATTTATAATATTTTGGACCATGGGGTTTTGTTTGCTTACACTATGAATGAGAATGTGAAGCTTTGATTACTCTGAGTGGGAGGGAGTCTTTTCTGCAGAAAGGAACATTGGCTCCCACAGGTCTTTTAAACATCTTTTTTAGCCCTTCTTCTGGAAGATTGTCCTATCTTAAATTACTTAATCTGGTCATTCTTTTTTTTTTTTGGTTGGTTTTGTGCGTTTGGTTTTTTTTAAGCAGTTGACTGGGAAGAAAATGAGAGGGGAAAAGTACAAGTTATTAATCTAATAATTTCATATTATCCTGCAACTCAAATCATCAGTGATAATGAATGTGTGGCAAAGAACAGAGAAGATAAAGTCATGTCTGAAAAAGCTTATGGTGAAGGCAATAGAACTGAGAGTGGTAATTTCAGCTCACGAGACTTTCAAAATCAAGGTCCATAACTATATTTCTATCATGAGTGCTATTTACTCTGTGAAAGATATGAATTTTCAGGAAGCTTGATCTACCTGTTTTCCCAGAGGTTATTTGAATATAGGGTGATTGAAGTGAAACCCGGTATTTTTACCTAGGCTTTTAATACCACTTTCAGATTGTGTCTGTACTTTTTTTTGTTACGTGTTTTAAAAGATTTCTTCCTCTTTAGTAATATGTAGGTGCTTATTTCTGTGTTTCATTCTTCTCACAAGGGAAAAGCATCTTCCAAAGCAATGTCAGCTGGAAGGATTAAAGTACAAATTCCTTGAACTTCGCAGTGCTAATTGGTTTTTTTGCTGATTGCTAGAGGCTGCCTTTTGTCATTTTTTTTTTTATCCCCCACCCCGGCAAGTATCTTCCTTTTATTGGAGCAGCAAAAAGTGAGCTATTAGTACAGTATTCTGTAAGATTACTTAGTCATTTTAAAGAGAAGCTGCAGTCACAAATCCTTTGGGGTTTATGATCCCACATAGTAAAAGCCATAATACTTTTTTTCCTTCTACATCTCTGACAGCAAAGAGAAAAATAGATTCCCCCCTTTTTTTGTATTTAGAAATAAATTGAGAAGGAAATGTCAACATCAAAGGTATGATAAATCTTTTGTTTCTGTACTTTTTTTGTTGTTGGTGGTTTAGTTCATTATCCTTTACTGTTACGGTAAGCACAATATTAAAAAAAAAAAACCAACTTGACATGCCTATTTTAAAACTGTCACTACACTGTAGTATATATGTGCATATAGAGTTAAATTGTTTCACTTTATCTTGACATATTTTACATTATTTGTGAAATGTGATTTATTACTGTTTTTTCAAGGACTCATTTATCCCTTTATAGTAACACACTGCTATAATGCAATATTTTAAGAGTCCTTTTCAGATAGTATAATAAAGGTTCTATGAGATTCCTTGACTTTACTTTTTTTCTTCTTGAAAACTTGCTTTTGAGAAATACCTTACAGTGGAGAATATATCAATGTTATGTAACACTGCTGAGGTTCAACCCTGCCTGTTGAATGCTGGTCTGAGATGAAAAGGCTGGCAGTTAGAGACATGCATGGTAGAGGAGAACCAAACTTCTTGCTTTTTTAAGTGTAAAGGATAAGCAAACATATTAAGTGCTGATTATGCTTCTTACTAATGGATGGTCTAATGTGGGGGTGTTCTTGGAAAACTTAAAATGTTTGAAATAGTTATTAACAAGTAGAGTTCTTATTTTCATTTCTTTAACCCAGAATTACAGGATCTTCTGTTGAGTTTTCTTCCTTTTGAAATTCATGTGTATTTGTAGTATGCTCAACTAATCTACAAGGGTTTTTTTTTAAAAAAGTATGATTTGCAACTGAAAAATTTAAGTGCTATTCTGTGAAGTTTCTCAGCTATGATATTTGCATATTCCTCTTTGTTCATTTTGTCTTGCATTTTATCAAATCATTGTTTATCCCTATAATGTGCCCATTGTTCAGGCCAAGAACTCTGTTAAATGTAAATTTACCAAAAGTCTTAAGTCTTTGACTTTTAAACTGTTATGTTAATCATAAAGCAAATAATCTGGAAACAAACATGACTGGTATTTATCTACATATTATGTCTTCCAGTTCTTTAGGCTGTTTTCTTAAATAAGGAAATAAATGCTACATACTTGGAAAAAGCACTTTTTGGAATGATTCCATCTATTAAAACTAACCACAGTATTTGACATACCTAGCCTCCCACATTATTTGGCATCTTATGTAATTGGTTGCCCCTCCACAAACTGGGGGTGGCACCATCAAAACCAAAAGAAAACCTGCAATTATTTTAATTTGGCCTAGATTTAATGATTCTGCATCATCTTCCTTTCTCTTTAATCATCCCCGATATAAAACTGGGTATAATATGGTTTCCTAATGAGAGAACACTCTTCTGATGATTGGGTGCAGTACTGCTATTAGTATTTCACCAATTTTGATTTTTCGGAGAGAACTGGAAGAGAAGCTTAATTTTGCAAGTCTGTGGAGAATACAGTTATTTTCAAACAATCTGAAACTACAGTTTTCTACATTTTTACATACAGCACTAGAGAAGTGCTGGTGTTTCATAGTACCACCTTCTTGTTTGCTTGACCAGCAGACAGAGTTCAGATGATTAAAAAAACCCTTCAGGTTGAGAAGCTATCTTGGTTGTAGGGTTAATAAAAGGTGATTCTAAGATATGAATAAGCTTTCTGCTTGCTTCTTGCTTATTCTTTCCCCTTATACATGGTTTCATTTATTTATGGGGTTTTCCTTATTGTTCTTTGGTTTCAGATGCGAGTGTCTCTCTGGTTTATGTGGTTATCCCATGTGCGAGGCAGGCTCCGTTCCCCAGATAGTCTCGCGTGGAGATGGAACACCTGGCAAGTGCTGTGATGTCTTTGAATGTGTCAATGGTACGTGAAGCTTTCTCTTGCGCATGGGGAGGAGGATTTTATCTGTTTGTGTGAGATGCTGGGCATTTGGTTATTTTTACCATGTTGTCAAGATCTAAGAGAAATAACTTTCTTGAGATTTTTTCAGTAAGAGGGACTGGAAGTTCAGCTGAAGATACCTAGTTATATAGGAAACTGTGTCATTTGTAAGTTGTCATGTTTCTTTAATTTCTAGAGAGCTTTTCTCTGTGGCCCAGGGAATTGCAGTTTTAGCAAGACTCCCTCAATGCATGTTTTTCGGGTACTCCTTTACCAGTAGCAAACACTATGGTACTTTTAAAAGTGAAATTTTTGCTAAGCACTGTAACTGCTTGTTGCAGTACTGTAAGCACGAACATGCTCTTTGCTTTAAGAAATATTTGCAAATTTTTCACATGAATGTACAACCACTGGAAACTGTAAGTCAGTGTAGGAATAGACTGATTAGCATTCTTTGCTTCCCAATGTAAATGTTTAGAAAATGTTTAAAAAACTTGAATGTGTTACGCAAGTGCCTGTATCTTGGGACTGCTCTATGATTTTATATATATATATATATATAAAAGTTAACTTCTTTCGTATGAATTAAAGAATTTGTATCACGAAGAATCACAGATTCTTTAGCTTTCAGATTAATTCTTTCACTATTTGGGATCAGATTATAGATACCATAGAATTAAATGCAACTTGCCTAATTTGTTTATATACTGCCTGTTATACTAAAGTAATATTCATCTTCCTTTGTTTCATATTTGTGTTATTCTGAAGTTGATTTATCTGTGGGGCACACCTCAATGCAATGTTTGATTCAGGATTTACATTGGTACTTTCAGCAAGAAATGCAAAGCCCATTTCTGATACAGTGTATTTGCTAGTGTGGAACAGTCTTTAAGGCACAAACCACATTGCTAACATTCCTGTTTCTCTTCAGTCCTAAGCTGCTTGCCATTATTGCTGTCAAAATTGTTGCAGTATATATCATATCAGGTGTTAGAGCTCTTTAAATTTCTCCCTTTTTTTTCCTTGGTCATTTTCATATCCTATTTTCAACATTAATTTTTCATTGTTAATGGTGAGCTTGAGCTGTCTTAGCACTGTTGCCCTGTGCATCATTGATTTATTGCTCACTGTAACTCACACCAAAGGTTCAAAGTGCTTTTGGGTCAGGATGTCTTCTTGCCCCCCTGGCTTTCCTATTCCTAATCTTCACTTTAGTAGCCTATGAAGACAGAGTAAATTAGCAGAAAAAATAGGAGGTTTTGAAGGGAAGTTGATGCGACAGAGGGAAGCAGAAAGGCCAGATTGGAGGAAAACAAAGGTGTGTAGGAAGAGATAACATTCTCTCTTGTTTATGTCCTTAAAACATCAGTATTAAAATATGACAGGCCAGTATGAATATTTTTTTTTTTTTTACTACGTTCCTCTTTAAAAAAAAAATAATCTGAGAAATCTGGAGAGAAAAACTAAATACTTGTGTTTTTTTAAAAAGGGGGCATTTCTCGTTATGCCACCTAATGCTACAATCAGATTTTTTTAAATATGTATGATATGACTTGAAAATATATTTAGAAAGGAGAAACTTCCAGGTGCAATTACTAATGATGCTTCATTCTGGAAGGAGGAAATAGTTATAAGCCTGAAGGTTATATGTATTTTTATTAACAAGCTGGGAGCATCTGTGAAAACTACTTATGAGGAGTTCTATATGTGACATTGGGACTGTATGGCAGATCATTAGTAAAGAGGACAGACCAGTCATAGAAGTTGATCTGCATTGCTTTATAACTTGGGCTTTTTCAAGTGCATGTTAGGATAGTTAGGTGGTTCTTGTATCAGGGACAAATACTGCAAGCCACACCTCTAAAACGTCTAAACTCCTAGAAAACTAATTCTGAAGAGAACTTACTAAATAAATGGTGCAGTGACAAACTGGTAAAGATACATATATGCATATATAATCCCTACCATTACTTCTGTCAGTTTAATATGAAGAGGAGGGGAAAATGTTGTTTAGGAGACTGATAGTTAAATATAATATCCAGTTCTGTTTTTTTAAAGGGTCTTGAAATACTAGCAAGTGCAGAAAAAATACAGCAGATATCAGTGACAGATGGAGAAAATATCTTACAGTGATAGGCTTAGATAAACTTCTTCACTTCATTAAAAAAAATTGCTATCAAAGTAACAAGAGCCAAATCTGTAATATCTAGGACATGCTGTTCTCGTAAGTGAGGGTGGTTAGCTGTTGGCGCAACCTGCCAGGAAGATGCTGACTTCCTTATCTTCAACCTTTCCAATTAGGATTAGATGCCTTGTTAAAGAGTGTGTTTTAATCAAATGCATGTTAATGGCTTTTTAGATGGTAAGTGGGAAAGCTGTGTAATCAGTGTTACCAGTGAGTTCTATTAGTTACTTCTGTGTTTGAAAACCTCTGAAAAGAGGCAAGAGGGTGGAATAAAAAGGACATGTGTTCAGTTGCATTAGTATAGTTTGCCTGCTGTTATATATTTAATGTTTAAATTAAATAATGGGTGGGAAGAGAAGAAAAAGGCAGTTAGGTGTAATACTGATCATCTGAGGTACCTTAAAATTAAGGCATCCATTATGAATAAATTTATGTAAACTGCAAAAAATCCAGATAGTGGGGTAACTAAATCATGTATTTAGGTAACGCTAATGATGTGCAGAGTGTTAAAACAGGCCAGCCTTCTGCAGTATTTATTGCAAGTGTGTACTAATGTGATAGATGCCATGTTGCAGGCAGAGAGAGTATGGGAAGGCTGCCTTTACTGTGTAGGGAAAGAGGTCTGCTCCTGTTGCAGAACAGCATTGGGCAATGTTGAGGGAATAGTTAATGAATAACGGCAGCAAAATACGTCTTGTGTAGAGACTCTACAGTATGTTCTCTTTCTTTGTCAGCATTTTGGGGGCAGATAGTCATTCTTTTACCAATGTTTTTCCTGGATTTAATATAAAACTGATTTAGAAGTTCTATGATAAACCTGTAGATTTTGTGTGGTTATCTTTGTTACCAATACATGCTGTCTCAAACTAGCTTTTGGTTAGTCTGTCTTTTGAAAAGCATATTAATCTGCAGTGAGAGAAACTTCTACATTAATCACTCTGCAGATAGTGGAGTTGTTGCTGTTCCTGTTTGATTATAAATAACAGCAGTAAGTCAGTAGACTAATCATTATTTTCATGTGTCAGATTTATACTGGGTGTGTCCTTATGTTTCCCATCATGTATATGCTGTTTCTCATAGTTTGTTATATAATTATATAGACAGTATCACCAAAATAACGTTTATTCCTCCTTAAAAATGGTCCTGATATTCTTATTTAATTGGAGCGTGTTGTTAAGTACCTACTGTCGATGGCTATTCAATCTTTGTATAGGCTGAGCTGCTTTTTGGATTTTTGTTATACAGGAAATAATTTAGAAAGTGCTGAGAACAACTTTCTCATCAGTGACAAGAAAAAAATGTATTAGAGAGCTGATGATTCTAATAGTTCTGTGTGACATTTTAATCATCCTGAATATATGCAGAGATCGAAATATTTTATGTAAAACTGTTATACTGGCTGGAGACATAAATCTGTGCTTTTTAAAACACCGCTGTGGTTAAGAATGCATCATTACAATTGATGCACAGGTATTACTGTTAGTTACAATATGGTTCTTGTCCCAAAGGTCAGTCAATTAAAAAGGTCAATTTTAAGACATGTATTGACATCTTCATTTTGAAGGAAAGCGTCTTTGTAAATAAAATAATTCTGTATTGTTTAAATGGTGGTAGAAATCAAACCAAAGTTCCCTTTTGAAGCAGTGAAGTTCCTCTGTTGTGATTTATCCAGTATGAATATTTAGGTCATCCCAGAGCATGTCCTGCCTCGTCTTTGGATGTCAAAATGATAGCTCAGACAATGATGATGGCCGCAACTTTGTTGTTTCTTGCTCCTTTTTCCTTGTCAGAGGAAAGGTCTTTACTAATTGATTTGTAAATTAAACCTTTCAACTCTCTGGAACTGCTCCTTGGTAAACACTGATTTACAACACGGTAGTGATGTGATCTTGTCAGTTGTCTTAGCTTAGAAGATGGCTGGCTGGCTGTTTCTCCTAGTCTTACTTTCTTGATGACACTCAAGGCAAGCCCCAGAATGTGCATGTAACAGAATTTTAGCTTGAAGAAGTCAGAAGCATGAATTGCTAAATTTACATCTCTGGCTGCCATAAAGTAGTATAACTAGAGGTGTAGCTGCTTATAGCTATATACATCACTGCTTGTTGCATATGGGAATCAGAGATTAATATAGTAGTGTTCATTAGTGAAGTTTTCAGGGAAGAGCTACCCCCAGAGTCAAATGTGTTAATTCCTGAGAAGTGTGATGCTAGATACAGTGAAAATAAGGCAACACAGGAAATATCTAGCAAATAATTTCATCTTAATACATGAAACTGAACATGAGATTTTGCCTGTTGTGTGGTTCCAGTGCATTGTAACAGAGAGTACGTTTCAGTGAAAGTGAGCGTGTATTGCTTTGTTTAAAGGCGGATTATTGCAATTGCCATGAAGTTTTGCCCTACTTACAGTTATCTGAGATACGCTTTCCATCTAGAGAATACTAGGTAGTATGTGATACATAATTGGGGAAAACTGAGCAAGACATTCCCAAAATGCAGTCCTTCCCAAAGTACTGCATTTTACAGAAGTTAGTTCAAGGTTTCTTCTGATCTACCCAAAATATGTTACTCACCAGGACTTTTGTCTACTATTCCTGGTGTGCTGTCTTTTCTCATGGGAGAGCTTGTAAGGAAAAGAATTGATTCTGTGTTAAATTACAAGTATCAAGAAGTAAATCTAAAGAGCTTGAAAGCTGCACATGCAGCAAGAGTAGAAGTGTTTGGAAACAAGAGATATCCAGACTTGCCTGTTCTCTAATTAGATATTGATGCATGGTCTCTTGAATGTGAATTGCACT